TTTTTCTTTTTGCGTAGATGAACTTCCCACCTTCGAGAGAAGAGCCTCCTCATCGTTTATATATTTTTTTGCCTTAGCCAATACCTCGAAAATACTTGTCTGAGAGTTCTTTGAAATGGAGAACATCAGGTCTTTGGATTGCACGCCTAGACTAGCTATAAACGCTGTAATGACAAACTTCTCATCTGGGACATCCACTTTCAGGGATTTCGAGTTAAACTGCTGACGTAAGACCTGAGGTTCTCTTGGGTTCCTTGTTTCACGTTCAATAAGTGGTAGCTCGATTTTCTGTATATCCGAACTCCTATGAATTGAGATACGAAGGATATAGAAAGCTCTTTATAGGAGGAGATCGAGGCTGGGGGGAGCCTATTGAACCATGCTAGGGCTGACCCTTTTAGCGTGATGGCGAAGGCTCTACAGCGCACTGGGTCTTGGTATCTGTGGAGCTCCATTTGATTCTTGTAAGTATTTAGGTGGTCCACGGGGTCCTTTGTCCCATCAAAGGCTTCTATCTGTGGCATCCTGAACTTTAGGGGAGGGGAACATACAACACGACTGTGGTGAATGATGACTCAGTTTGTTGCACCAGGGCATCCATTGTAACTGGAGCCTTGCTCTTCACAGCTTCCTTCATATGATTGAGCTCTTGCTGGATGCCATTAAAGCGCTGTTTCCAGTACTGTTCTCTCCTCTCCTGTTGATAGGGGAGAAAATCATTTCTTTCACCCCCAACATTTTGACTTTGCACCTCTTCTTTGTGTCCATTCCTTAGGGGTAAATGAGGATCTTGTTCCCAAGTTTGACTATTTTCCCCTCATTCATCAACTTCTCTGAGGGGATTGAGGTATTGCTGCTCTCTGTGAGGGGGGTTATTCTGGCCTTCTTGGACCGGTCGTGCCTCTTGAGGGCGATTCAAGAGCTTCATGAGCTCTTCATTCTACTGTATCAGGCGTTGATTAACCAACGAAGGGCCTCCAACTTATTATTTCCGTGGGGATTCCCCATAGGGGGATTTGTCCCTGGGACGTTCTCAGGCTGTCTGTCGTTGGCGATTTCCTATTGTTCTTGCATTCGTGGTAGATTGGTTTGGCTTTTGCTCATGTTACGAGTTGAGACCATCAATTACTGAAAGATCAGCGTAATTATACCAGGAACAATCTTTCTCGCAGACGGCGCCAAACTGATGGTGTAAATTTATGTGGTGCAGACTTATGGTGATGAGCAGATGTGATGATTATTAATTGTTTCTTGAGATCTGAGCTTCAAGGCTCGAAAGAGCGAAGATTAGTAAAGTATGGGAAATCGGGGGATTGGCATAATAGAATTATAGTGGTTCACCAGCTCAGGAGTTCGGCTAATCCACTATTCAATGGAGATTCTTGCTCATTTTTTCTTTTCTTCTTATTCAAAAAGTTTACAGGGTGGAGTATATGTTACTAGGGTCTCCCTCTTGCCTTCGGGGAGTTACATAATATTTATAGGACTGTTGCTAATTCCCTGGGATCTGCACTGAGCTCCTTGCTATTTATCCGAGGAACTCTCCTTGATCTTAGGAGAGGATCTTAGCTGGTTAAGGATTTTATGCCTTGAATATGGCTCTTTGCCACCTAACAAGTTTCTGTTATCATTTAGTTGTTTCCTTATCATTTCTGTTGTTGGCACGTCTGGAGAGGGGGAAGCTCTAGCTCTGATCTGGGCTCTGCGTGTCTTTCTTGACTTCTTATCCAGATCAGCTTGTCTGACCTCTTGGTCTGACCTCCTGATCCGACCTCATACTTGAAAATTATTCTGAGTACCATCAGTAATCATTGATCTTTAACATTAGAACATAAATGAAATTATAAACTAAGAAAAATTCACACGGTTTCATTGGATGAAAAAAAGGAGGAACGGTAAATTTTTCTGATACCAGTAGCCGGATTCATCCTTATAAGGTTACATTTGATCCATTTCAATACTCTGTTGATTGCATTAGATTTTGGGCAACCGGGTCAAGTTGATGCTAACCTCGATGAATTCTGTGGACTATGCTCTGTTGATGAATTCTATTAATCATTATTGATAGTGTTAAATGCAGTAGTTTTACCCTCGAGAGTCTGTGTCGATAATTCAAATTCATGATATCTAGGTTTCAATGAAGTAATCTTATTGCTATGCCAAGGCCTATCTTGTACACAATCTTACATTGAATAACATACATGGAGAAAAATTAGATTTGATTAACCAATTAAGGGAATGTAGATAGTAGTTAAAGGCACATTAAAAACGGCTAGAGGGAGGTTGTCAACTACAATGGATGACATATCTAAAGCAAAGGTAACCATTCTTGAAGCTTTTGACTCCTTTCATACAATGTATCTGAAAAGTATACCAGGACTTAACCCTTTTGACTAACAAAAATGGTACAGAAGCACGAAGATCAGTGTCCAACCTGATACCAACATCAATTGTATACCTTTCCGGGCCAAAGGCACACTTGCACCAATCTCTACAGACATGTCTAAATTGGCAATCACCCAACTGCGAGCTATAAATTTGTACATCATCTACCACCTGGCCATGCTTGATTCTTTATTCTCTTTTTGGGTCTTCTTGATTCAGAAATTCTATCCATATATGGAAATGTTGAGATAATGTGCTGTTTTTTACAACTTGTTTGCGCCGCATTTTACAAGAACGGTGTAGTATTGGAGTCTTGAGCGAAAGATATGCATAGCAATGGAATTTTTCATATTGTTTGACGGATTACAAATTATAAGTTATCTAACATTAAAATTCATTACATTACAAACATAAGAATTACACTAACATTGACAACTTTGAAAAATTGAGAGTTGATTTAATGTTTGATACAATGAAAATGGAATATTAAAAATCTCAAATACCTGGCAAACTAAGACTACTGTGTGTGCAAAAGTGATGCAAATGATGAACAAGTTGTAGAAGATGTGGTGAACTTTGAGGAATCAGTGTCGTAACTATAGATCGAAGATTGCATATTTAACAAAAAGTTATTTTATTTTACCCCTAAATTATGTGATTTTTTTTCAATTTACTCTGACACGTCAGTGATTTCGATCTAAAAAAATAATAGACATTTGTGATGTGAAATAAAAATGTTAGCTTAGGATGTAATATGAGAAATCTGATAGTTGAGGGAGTAAAGTGAAGAAAGGGTGATAGTTTGAAACATAAGTGTAATTTATCCTTAAGAAAACAAATTACACCAAATTGGCCTTTATGACGGTAAATTTAAATGAATAAATGGATGAAATCAGGAAAATGATGGAAGATTTCAAAGAAGGATTCGGGAAAAAAAAATGGAAGGACGAAAATTGGATGGATTAACAAAGACTTCCAAAAAAAATTTATATACACCTTTTGATAAACATTATTTATTATAGTCAAAATCAAAAGAGAGACATGACAATTAATCCCAAATTAGTTGTAAATTCACGCTTTGGGAGCAGATTGACACCCACTTTATACTAATTTATGAATTCACCTTATTTGCATATTATATTTATAGTTGTTTTGGGGTTCTTACGTTAATCTTTTATTTCTCGAAACCATAGATCATAATAACGACTCATATTAATTAGATTGGAAATTGAACGATAAATATTTTGATTACGGTTAAACTAATAATTTATATTTATATCACACTAACACTAACACTAACAAAATATTTACTAAAACAATAAATCACAACAACCATCCAAATTGTTTGGTTTGAAGATCCGACGTCAAACATTTTAACTGAATGATTTACACAAAAACAAATTAAGTTAACTTACATTTTAGCCACGGTAAAATTAATTATTTACATATTAACTGTGGTAAAACTGTTTAAATTAAGAGCTTTTTCGCACTTTGAATCCTGAAAGATTTAAAAAATTTTATTTTGTACCTTAAAAAATAAAATTTTTACATTGTATCCTCAATGTTCCAACACTTATGTTGTATATTGTCAAACACTAAATAAAACTACGTATTATTCTAATATTTCATCTAATCTTGTTTTTTATTCATCTGTATTGTATTAGATTTAAATCTCTTATCCAATCCATTCATTTCTAATACGACAAACAAACGAACCCATAGGATTCTAGAAGTCTTGATATAGCTGGGTAGTATTCTTTTTATCGGAGTATTATTAGTTTTTTAATAACTTAAAAAGTCTTTCTTGCAAGCCTCCTTTGTGTGGTAGTCGCAGTCTTCATTGAAAAATAAGGGTATGATTGATTTGTATATGTAAAATAGTTTTTCTTTCTGTTTTTTTTTTAGATGTAAAAAACACAAGACAATTTGTTTGGATATCAGAGTTTTGTTTTCAATTTTTCAAAAATTAGGAACAAAAACTCAGAAATTTAGGAAACATTAATAACATGTTTTTGCCAGTTTTAAGATAGTTTCAAAAAAATTAAAAACGCGAGATGTAATTTATTGTGGCATATTTAAAAAGATTTTTTTTTTTCTCTCTCTTTTGTGTCTTTCACTTCGCTTCCAAAGCAAAGCTCGATTGATTCTTTCAAACCCATAATCTCATTTGAAACTCCGGCCCTTCAAGTGGCACAAGCTGACCAGAAGAGATTCGATTGACTACATGTTACTCTTAATTTTATAAATCTTTTTAATTTAATAAAATACATTGGGAACGAAGGGTTGCCAATTGCTGGCAATATCTATATTGGGAGGGATTTGTATCCAAAAAATTTACCCACTGCACAATTTAAAAACGAATAGGAGTCATGGGTAAAAGAAATGTACCGTAGTGTGATAAATTCTCTAACATTGATTACATATACAAGCATGAGAATTACACTAACATTGACTACATCTTGAAAAATTAAGAATTGATTTAATGTTTGATACAAAGAAAATGGAAATATTAAATATCTAAAAAACTTGGCAAACAGAAACTACCGTGTGTGAAAACGTGATGCAGATGGCAAAAAAGTTGCAGAAGATTTGGTCAACTTTGAGGAATCGGTGTTCTAGCTATAGCTTGAAGATTGGTTCCGACTACTCTCAGATACAGTGGTGCCATAGGAAAATGGTTGTGAAGAAGTGGGTGTATACCCTGACAGAGACAAATACTTTGGCACTGGCATTTTGGATGGAATAACAGGCAACGGAGCTTCAAAATTTAGGACATGAATCACTTGCCTGATTGAAGGCCGGAGATTAGGATCTGGGTGAGCACACCAAAGCCCCACAATCATCAAATGTTCTATTTCTTGCTCATCAAACTCTGCAGATAGTTTCGAGTCAGCTGCTTTAAAGAGCTTACCTATTCCATAAAGATTCCATACCCATTCAACCATTCTTATCTGACCTTCTGTTGCATTGTGATCTATGGGTTTTCTTCCACATGCTAATTCCAATGATACAATTCCAAAGCTGTATATATCTGACTTCTTACTAGACTGACCTGTAAGGATACATTCAGGATCCATGTAGCCCATAGTCCCTGCCAGAGCAGTCGTCTGGGATCCTTTTCCATGATCAACCATCCTAGCTAACCCAAAATCCCCGAGTTTTGCAATTAAATTCGAATCTAACATAACATTACTTGATTTTATATCTCTATGCAACACACATTGTTCCCATTCTTCGTGTAGATATAGCAATGCGGAGGCCAATCCTTGAGCAATTTTGTACCTTACCTCCCAAGTCAATAAGCTTTTTTCTTTGAAAAGATGAGTATCTAAGCTACCATTGGGCATGAATTCATAAACAAGTAGAAGTTCTCTTTCCTCATGGCACCAACCAATTAGTTGAACCAGATTCCTATGCCTCAGCCGACTTATGATTTTCACTTCTGATGCATACTCCTTTATCCCTTGTTTGGACCCTCTCGATATCCTCTTTACAGCAACATAGGAGTGTAACTCCCTCAAGAAACCTTTATAAACACCACCAAACCCTCCCTCTCCAAGTTTCAATTCCTCTGCAAAGTTGTTTGTTGCACGAACCAATTCTCCATATGAGAACTTCTTAGGTCCACTACCCCTTTCGAATTGGTCGTTCATGGACGACTCAATGACAAACTCTTCTTGTTCGACTTTCCTCTTTTTCCACACGCCAATACCAACCAAAGCCACCGCGATCATAACCAAAACACTGAGACCGACACTCAACCCCACCACTAATCCTATTTGGTTTTTCTTTCCTCCGCTGACAATTATAATGGGTTCTGGATTTGGGCTTGGAGTTGGAGTTGGCGTTCTTAAATCGGTATCAACTGGTAAACTCGAATTAAACTCCCATGTTTTAACATTGTTTTTTTCAAACAAATGTCCTGTCGCAGCTGAGAACCCAAAAGTAACCCATTCTGGTAAATAATTCCTCAGATCCACCATATAGCTAATGCTATCTTGTTGGGTTTTATTATTTGAAAAACCAGTGAAGACAACATTGAGAATTTTGGAACTAGAATTATAACTAATCGAAGCATTATTCTCTCGCCCTAGTGTAATATTATTCGACCATCTCATACTATTAACAGATCTCATAGAATTGATATTGATACCTACATGTGTTCTAGAGAGATCCCAGCTATTCTGGAAAGTATCAAACTCCACTGCAACAAATGGACTCGCAGGTGAGCTTGTGTTAAGATCCTCGCTTCCAATACCGAGGTTACCCCCGGCTTGGCCGATGGCGGAATTGACAGGAGCCAGGAAGAAAGCCAGCCCATCGCCCAAGTCAATACTTCCATTTGAATCAATTACGAAAGAGAAATGGGTGGTGAAGTCCGTCAGGTTTCCTGAAGACTTGTCCCATAAGTGCAGTGGTTCCTTATAAGTGGCTTGACCAGCTTTTTTTCCCAAGTCCGTGTTGCGTTCGTCTGGGGTGACTTGGATGCCTTGTTTGGAAATATAAGCATCTCCGGTGAGGTTTATGGAGCGATTAGCATCCTCAGGTCCGATCCTGGGGAGGTTGAAGTACAGGGCAGAAGCAAAAGGGATTGTGAGAAAAAAGAAAAAAGAGATATTCCAAGAGCTACTTACAGTTGCAGCCATGGCTCAAAGGTAAACTTGGGTTGGGAAGTTTGAGGTTTGTTGCATAAAATATAACTAGCAAGTGCTGAATTTATCTTGTCGTGTGTTCATCAAGTCTTTGGGAAATACTTTTCTAAGAAAATAACTTTTGACCGTGTTTTTCCATGTTGTTTGAAATTTGTATATCATGTGTTGGACATTTTGTCTCAATTCTTTTGACTTGTGCAGAACAAGCTTTGTTCTTGGGCTTTGCTACCAAATTCACACCCGCACTTTATACTAATTTATGTATTTGCTTGATTTGTAAATTTATAGTTGTTTTAGAGTTCTTATCACACTTATTTAATCTTAATTTTTTACTTTTTGGATAAAACGTATGTCAAACTTGAATGATACTCATTTTGAAATCTTGTAATTAATATATATTTAAAAATTAAATAGGTTGGTATATAATTGTGCATTAAATTTAATTTTTAAATTATATATATTTTTAGTAATTTTTATTTATTTTATGCAGATAATGTGACGCTCTCAAAACATTTTTGTTCATTTTTTTTGAAATTCTGTAGCTCTTTAGAAGATTAAATTATATTTTAACCCTTGAACTACTATCTTTATTTTACTTTGTCATTTCAATTATAAAATTTCTCACATTATACCATAAAATATCAATTTTATTTCATATCAGTGTAATAAATAACCGTAAATTTGAAAATCTATCAAAAGAGAGAGAGAAATCTCAAAGAGTTTCTCGTTAAGTGTCCAGTACCACTTTATTTTACTTTTTTTGCAATCAAATGATTGTTAGGAAGAAAAAAAAAAGTCGGCCAGAGTTGGAGTTTATGGATGAGTATTTTCCTTGTTTTTTGATCTGTACATGTGTAATAAGCAGTTGCTTATTGATAGTACAGACCACTCACATACTCATTTATCATCAAAAAATTGACAAATATTATCTATTAGAGTGATATGAAATAAAATTGATATTTTAAAAATATAATGTGAAAATTTTTATAATTAAGGGTATAAAATTAAAGTAATAGCTTAAGGGTTAAAATATAATTTACTTTTCTCAGAATATGACTCGTGTCTTCCACGAGTCAAATTGCGTTCGTTCAAATCGCTTTCATCATTAACTCTTGCAACTTAATATCGTGCCTTCCACGGTAAAGTCATTATCCAACACTTTAATGCAAAACACTAAGTCTTCCACGACCCTAAAAGTCATTATCCAACACTTTAATGCAAAACAGTAAGTCTTCCACGACCCTAAAAGTCATTCATTAATTTACCGTACTCAGAGTAAATTACTAATTGCCACTTCAATTTTGGGTGTTTTTTAATTAAGTCTCTCAGGTTTCAATTTTGACAAATGACCCCCTTTAAATTTGTTAAACTTTCAATTAACTCCCATCGTTAATTTTCGGCCGTTAAAAGTGACAAAATAGTCATGTGGTACTCACGTGGTCTCCAATTTGTTTAAAAGACAAAAGTATCCCTTGTCAAATTTTCTTTCCCCATTTTAAAAAAGTTCTGTACTCCCCCACTTGACCCACAACAACTGTCGGGGACCCCCCTTTTCTTCTCCTATTTTCTCCGTGGTGCAACCTCATTCCCCATCTCCCTGTACCCTCCCTCTAACCTCCAACAACACAACCGCTGTAACCCCATCTCTCTCTCTCTCTCTCTCTCTCACACACACACACACACACCCACACCCACATACACATACACAAATTCTGGTACTAAAAATACTATTAACCCTTAAAGGAATTACGCCACAAATGGCTTGGTTACTGCCACAAATATTTGCTTCGAATTCTGCTCTGGCCTATGCTTGGTTGTGTGTGGATAGGATAGTTTTGGTTTTGTGAATTGTCGTTGGAGGTGAAGGTGGATGTGGTTTTGGGTTGCACGTGTGTTCTTTTTCTTGGTGTTGGGTTGGTTCTTGGTGGTAGTTGGTTGTGGGTTGTAAAGGGATGTGAAGGTTTTTAGGTGTTCTGAGCTGGGTTGTTTGTTCATTTGTTTGGTTTATCAGATTTGCTGTGGAGGTGCAAATGTAGGTGATAATGCTTAGGTGGTGGCTGCTATGCATTATTTTGGATGAGGGAGTTCACTGAAAAAGTTGATGAAACCAACTCTTTTGCTTTGGCTGTTCAAGTTGGAGTTGGTTGACGATGATGGGTGATGTGTGTTGATTTTGGATGATGTATTGTATATATCTTTTATGTTTTTATATAATTTTTTTAAAGATTTAATTTTTGAGAATGTAATGAGTATTGCAGGAAAACATACGGGCAAACAATGTAGACTAGGAGGGTGTAATGATATTTTATATTTCCTTAGAATTTTTCAGTCAATTCACACCTCTTGAAATTTTGAGGGGTAATTTATTGACAGAAACCTAAGGGAGTTGATTGCAAAAGACCCAAATTTAAGGGGGGAAATTTGTAATTTACCCCCAAAAAGTCTATACACCCAAGGAAACAGAAATATGTGAAATTCTTTTTTCTTTCTGGAAGGACCATAAGATTGAATCTAATCGTAAGAAGGATGTTTGGTATAAATAATTCCCTTCTTGGTCTTCAATCTCCCAGGCTTTACGACCGCCTCAATCAGTGGAATTGGAACTGTATATTAATCTAACTCTTGACTCGAAATAAGAGCATGTTGGACAAAGAATTTTAGAATGTCTGAAACTAGAGAGAGAAAATATCTTCTCCATCTTCTTTCAAAGTGGTTGGTCGCCAAAAATTTCTTGGTCCACCCAAGAATCTTGCAATCTTTGAAAAATGTTGCTTAAAATTACTCGAACATTTCATCTTTACAGGCTAACCTAGCTAATCATCCTTACTTTATCAACTAGTATGATCCCGTGCAAATGCACGACCAAGTATGAATACTAAATATATTATATTTGCCCTCATATTTGAAATAGAATCAAACTAAACACAAAACTAATAGATTAAATCAAGTAAACTCGTCTCAACAAATCAACATTCAATTAGAAAAGCACTTAAAATATTTAAAAAATAACATCGAGCGTTGGTAGGTTATCTTATAAAATTAGTTCCAACCAGTGCAATGCACAAAAAAGTATGAATCATCACATAGGTCTATTACATTATCAACATAACAAAAAAAATTAGCCAATCATAAAATCAGAATTTAAAGTTACATGGGTTCAAGCAAAAATCATTACATATATAACAAAAATCATCACCATACAATTCATAAAGTAAACTGACTCTTACTATAACCAAAAAAAAAATCTATAAATACCATTTAAACACGAACGAAATACTTTAAGAATTAAATTGATACATTGAGGACCAAACTGACGACACGAGTCTCAATTATAGACAAGAAAATCAAAACCAAAATTCTTCATGCATCCTTCCTAAGTGACAAATATCAATCACAGAATAAGCCTAAACTAAACATTGTTGAGGGAAAAAAATTGAAGAAAGAATTACGCAAAACATTAAACATGAGAGTAATTAGTAATTACACCCCAATTACACATCAAAAACCAAGTTTAGATCACCCGTTGTCTGCCCAATAAATACTAAATTGCAGGACAACCCAAACCAGTTTTCATGTTGAAAAAGGAAGGGAAAAACTTTACTTAATGATACAAACCCAAAACCATCCACTCGCACCATCCTCCCGTGCCGATGGCCCCCATGGGAAGAATTGCCAGAACAGAGAGAGCTATCTTCGGGCATAAAAATTTGAGTTAAGGTTGGAGATGTACTTAGGAGACCTCAACAGCTCAATGCCACCTTTATCCATTCCTCTCCATCATCTAAAAAAATGTTCCCTTGCTGTGAGGATAAGGGGCAGTTTAATGTCATTTAAACTTTAAATTTGATCCCAAAATTTAATCAGCATAGTATTATTGTACTTCAAAATGTTGTTTTAAAAACGAAAATTTCAAAACAGACACTACAAACTAGATCTAATAGAGGTTAAACAAACCAATAATAAGACACCACGTAAGATTTAAATTAATTTTAAAACATAAAATCTAGAAAATGAAGATGGATCAAATGGAGTATTGAGAGCGATTTTAGATGCATTCTTTCAGAATATAAAGATACCGAAACATTGAATATTCAAAAAATTTGTTATCCATATCTCCATACTGTAAAGAGATCCTTTAGCTATCATCTGCCCTTCTTTTTTTTTTTTGGGTTTTCAAACAAACTTTAGACTAGATAAAACTAAAAGATGAACACTGAATGATGAATTTTTTAATTTGTAGACTGTTTGGTATCAACTGAAATTTAAGTATTGAATTGAATTAAACTGTTTGACAAATATAAATAGCTGAAGTTTGAAAATTACTATTATTTTAATTTATCATATTCAACCATTTCTCCGTAATTACTGTATTCCTACCACCACCATCACAATAGTGGTGGTGGCGGCGATGGTCGTGGTGGTGACGATGGTTATGGGTGTGATGACATAATGGTGGTAGCGACGGTGACATAATAGCAGTGGCGGCGGTAGCGACACATGGTGGTTGTGGCGGTGGTATAATAGTAGTGGTGGCGGCGGCGACATAATGATGGTGGTCGCATAATGGTAGTGGTGGTGATGACACAATGGTGGTGGTAATGTTGGTAGTGGCGGTGGCACAATGGTGTTAGTGTTACTGGTGGTAATAGCGGTGGGGTGATGACATAATGATAGTGATGGTGACGACACAATGGTGGTGTTAATGGCAGTAGTGATGGTGGCACAATGATGGTGGTGTTGGTGGCATAATGGTAGTAGTGGTGGTGGGGGTGATGACATAATGGTGGTAGTGGTGGGGACATAATGGTGGTGGCAATAGTAGTGGTGATAGTGGTAGTGGCGGTGGCACAATGGTAGTAGTGGCGGTGAGACAATGGTAGTGGTGGCGGTGATGGTGATGGTAGCGGTGGCACAATGATAGTGGTGGTGGTGACGACACAATGACAATGATGGCATAATGGTAGTGGTGGCAACGACACAATGGTGGTGGCGGCGGCGGTGGTGGTGGTGAATGGTATGTATTGAAAAATAAAGAGCATAAAATGCATTGAGAGGATTGATATCATATTGATTGTTTCTGAGTTTTGATTTCAACAACAAACCACCTCTGGAGTGTATAAATGACTTTGACTGTGTTGGTTTTTCATCTTCTATAAAAATTCTCTGTTTATTCTTAGTTCTGTCTTTAAAAAAGAGATGATTATGTTATCGAAAAGAAATTTTTTAATATCATATTGAATGAGCGGTAGATTTTGTCATCATTTATTCGTAATTGTTGATCTTTAAAATTAGAACATAACTGAAATTATAAACTAAGAAAAATTCACATTGTTTCATTGGATGAAAAAATGAGGAACTGCAAATTTTTCCGATACCGGAATAAGTCCTTATAAGGTTACATGTGATCCATTTCTATACTCTCTTGATGTTGCGTTAAATATTGGGCAACCGGGTCAAGTTGATGTTAACCTTGATGAATTCTATGGATTATGCTATGGGATGTGTAATCCAACCCAACCAGCTTAATTTCCTATCCTGTGTCCTACATTGACTTTGTTGAATATCTCATTCTGCTATGTGGTAAGACTAATAAAATAATAATAAAATCATAACCAAGAGAAGAAGGACATGGAAAAGCCTTTCACAATGATATAAAACCTAAAGGAAAGATTGTATAAAACTGAAGTATTAATCATTGTTGCTACTGTTAAATGCAATAGTCATACCCTCGAGAGTCTATTTTGGTAATTCAAATTCATGATATCCAGGTTTCAATGCAGTAATTTTATCGTTATCTCAATGCCTATCTTGTACACAATTTTACATCGAATAACATACATGGAGAAAAATTAGAGTCGATTAACCAATTAAGGGAATGTAGATAGTAGTTAAAGGCACATTAAAAACGGCTAGAGGGAGGTTGTCAACTACAATGGATGACATATCTAAAGCAAAGCTAACCATTCTCGAAGCTTTTGACTCCTTTCATACAATGTATCTGAAAAGTATATCAGGACTTAATCCTTTTGACTGACAAAAATGGTAGAGAAGCACGAGGATCAGTGTCCAACCTGATACGAACATCAATTGTATACCTTTCAAGCTTTCCGGGCCAAAGGCACACTTACCCCCCATCTCTACAGACATGTCTAAATTGGCAAATCACCCAACTGTGAACTATAAATTTGTACATCTTCTACCACCTGGCCATGCTTGATTCTTTATTCTCTTTTTGGGTCTTGTTGATTCACACATTCTAGCCATATGTGGAAATGTTGAGATAATGTGCTGTTTTTTACAACTTGTTTACACCACACTTTACAAGAATGGTATGGTAAAAGTACGTCTTTACCAGATTTTGTCTAATATTATGCTTTATTTGTATGTCCAGTTTATGGCTGCAATTATGTGTACTAATGTCTTCTTTATCATGTACTGAGGGTATAAAAACCTGATTGTATGTATTGATTAGTTGAAGGAAGAATCTGGAAAGTTGCTGCCCAAACTCTGCTATCTTTTCGGCTGATTCTGCAGAATTTTTCTGAAGATATATTCCCCCTCAGAATCTGTTTGTCTATGCAGCTTCTTCCCCACGCAAGTTATCCAACATCCAACAGGGACGAAATAAAGGGAATTCATCACTGCTGAAAAAATGGTAACATCCACTATAGGAAATTGTATCTCTTTTCATAATCCATATTACTTATTCAATTGTATCTCTTTTCATAATCCATATTACTTATTCAAAAGTAATCCCTATGGTGGTGTTTGGATCGCCATGGGAGGATTGGATTGGGTTGGATTTGAATCCGAACCCAATCCAACCAAACACAAAATAGTCCGGATTAGAGGTTTATAAAGATGGGATTTAAATCATATCCCATCTTTGAATAAGTTTCATTTGGTTTGTAGGCCCCATTAACATGTAAAGCTAAAACATATTAAAATGATCATTTCACCCTTGTGTAAAATAATGTGATCCAATCTTATACCATGTTTGGAATAGAATGAAAAAAAAAACCTCAACCCATTAGTATTGTCTTTTTTACGAAAAAAATATGAATCAATAAATTACACATTTTTTAAAAAAATTGCAATAAATATTTTGTTAAGTTATTTAATTTAATTTGTACAATACACTTTTAATCACAAAAATTATCTAAGGCATCACGAAAAAAAAATTTCAACAAAAAAACAATACATATATTGATATAACACAAGCGTAAGTTGTTATTTGTTTATTTGTAGAAAATCCGAAGTTCGGTGTTTAAAACTAAATTTTTTTTTACAGCAAGAATAACGAGGCATGTGAAGGAAAAATGTGAGAGAGGAATATAGTTCAGGGGCTAAAAGTGTAATTATTACTTCTGAATTTTCCATTACCTATTTTGGAACAGTTCTCTTCGATTCCAGACAGTGCTCCTCGTGCGGTTTCTTCATTGTGCTAGGTAGGGGTGAAATGGTAAAAGGAAGTGTGTATCCTGTCGGCTGAAAGTGAATCCCAAAGGTAGCATGGGATATCATTGTCCAGATCAGAGGGGATAACGAGGCTGAAAAACTACGGCGTAGTTTTTGAAAACCAACAAATATCCTGCCCGAAAATCCATTGCCAAAGCAAGGATAACTGGGGACCACACCGTAATATCTAATCTCACAGTGCATCCACCTTTATCTAGCCATCCAAACACCACTATGAGAGAAAATGCTGAATGAAAACTGAAAAGGTTATCTAGTTTTGATCTATGAATTATGGTGCTCTTGTAGATGAATTGTGTAAGAACTCTCATGAAATTCCATAAATTTGCTTTGGCATGCACTAAATTTTGTTCAAGTTGCAACTAAGCATTGGAGTCGTGGACGAACAATATGTATAGCAGTGGAATTTTTCATATTGTTTGATGCGTTACAAATGATAATTTATCTAACGTTAAAATTGATTATATTACAAACATGAGAATTACACTAACATTGACAACGTCTTGAAAATTTGAGAGTTGATTTAATATTTGATACAATGAAAGTGGAATGTTAAATATCTCAAACACCATATTAAATATTTCAAATACCTGACAAATTAAGACTACTGTGTGTGCAAAAGTGATGCAGACGACGAACAAGTTGTAGAAGATGTGGTGAACTTTGAGGAATCAGTGTTGTAACTATAGCTCAAAGATTGGTTCCAGCTTCTCTCAGATACAGTGGTGCCATAGGATAATGGTCGTGACCCTGATGGAGACAAATACGTTGGCACAGGCATTTTGGATGGAAGAACTGGCAATGGAGCTTCAAAATTCAGGACATGAATCGCTTGCCTGATTGAAGGCCGGAGATTGGGATCTGGGTGAGCACACCAAAGTCCCACAATCATCAATTGTTCTATTTCCTGCTCATTATTTTCTGCAGATAATTTCGGGTCAAATGCTTCAAGGAGCTTACTCGTTCCATAAAGGTTCCAAACCCATTCAACCATTCTTCTCTTACCTTCTGTGGCATTGGGATCTATGGGTTTTCTTCCACATGCTAATTCCAATGATACAATTCCAAAGCTGTATACATCTGACTCCATGTTAGACTTACCTGTTATGATACATTCAGGATCCATATAGCCGATAGTCCCCGCCAGAACAGTCGTTTGGGATCCATTCCCATGATCAACCATCCTGGCTAACCCAAAATCCCCGAGTTTTGCATTGAAATTCGAATCTAACATAACATTACTTGATTTTATATCTCTATGCACCACACATTGTTCCCATTCCTCGTGCAGATATAGCAATGCAGAGGCCAATCCTTGTGCAATTTTGTACCTTACCACCCAAGTCAACAAGCTTTTTTCTTTGAAAAGATGAGTATCTAAGCTACCATTGGGCATGAATTCATAAACAAGTAGAAGTTCTCTTTTCTCATGGCACCAACCAATTAGTTGAACCAGATTCCTATGCCTCAGCCGACCGATGATTTTCACTTCTGATGCATACTCCTTTATCCCTTGTTTGGACCCTCTCGATACCCTCTTTACAGCAACATAGGAGTGTAACTCGCTCAAGAAACCTCTATAAACACCACCAAACCCTCCCTCTCCAAGTTTCAATTCCTCCGCAAAGTTGTTTGTTGCACGAACCAATTCTCCATATGAGAACTTCTTAGGTCCGCTACCCATTTCAAATTGGTCATCCATGGACGACTCAAGAGCAAACTCTTCTAGTTTGGCTTTCTTCTTTTTCCACATGCCATTAACAACCAAAGCCACCCCGATCATAACCAAAATACTGAGACCGACACTCAACCCCACCACTAATCCTATTTGGTTTTTCTTTCCTCCGGTGACAACTATATTGGGGTCTGGATTTGGGCTTGGAGCTGGAGTTGGCGTTCTTAAATCGGTATCAACTGGTAAACTCGAATTAAACTCCCATGTTTTAACATTGTTTTTCTCAAACAAATCTCCTGTTGCAGCTGAGAACCCAAAAGTAACCCATTCTGGTAAGTAATGTCTCAGATCCACCAAATAGTTAAGCCTACCTTGTTGGGTTCCATTATTCGAAAAACCAGTGAAGACAACGTTGAGAATTTTGGAACTAGAATTATAGCTAATCGAAGCATTATTCTGTGGCCCTAGTGTAATATTATTCGACCATCTCGTAGTATTAACAGATTTCATAGAATTGATATTAATACCTACATGTGGTCCAAAGGGTGGATCCCATTCATTCGGGTGAGTGTCAAACTCCACTGCAACAAATGGACTTGTGGGTGAGCTTGTGTTCAGTTCCTCGCTTCCAATACCGAGGCTACCCCCAGCTTGACCGATTGGGGAACCAACAGGAGCCAGGAAGAAAGCCAGCCCATCGCCATAGCTAGAATTCCCACCCGAATCAATTAGGAAAGAGAAATGGGTGGTGAAGTCTGTCAGGTTTCCTGATGCCTTGTCCCATAAGTGCAGTGGTTCCTTATAAGTGGCTTGACCAACTTTTGATGCCAATGACAAGTTGCGCTCGTCTGGGGTGACTTGGATGCCTTGGTTGGAAATATAAGTATCTCCAGTGATGTTTATGGAGCGATTAGTATCGTCAGATACGATCCTGGGGAGGTTGAAGTACAGGGCAGAAGCAAAAGGAATTATGAGAAAGAAGAAAAAAGAGATATTCCAAGAGCTACTTAAAATTGCAGCCATGGCTGAATAGTAAACTTGGGTTGGGAAGCTTGAGGTTTGTTGTATAATATAACTAGCAAGTGTTGAATTTATCTTGCTGTCTGTTGATCAGGAACGGCTCAAAGTCTAAAGCAGTAATAGTAAATGATGTTTTTTTATTTTTAGTATTATTTAAAAAAAATAAAAATATATTTTAATTTTTTTTATGTGAGAAATGAGGATGTGATATTTTATTTTTGTTTTTTAAGAGAGAGAGAGAGAGAGAGAGAATGGATGTGAGCAAATATGAGTTAACTTTTAAATATTTTTTTTTATTTGTTTTTAAAATTTTTTATTTTTGAGTTTCTAATGTTATGAATTGAATTATAGGCTTAAATTATTAAAATTATAATTTTTTGATTGAGTTTAAATTATTTATGTGCCGGCCCTGCTGTTGATCAAGTCTTTGGGAATACTGCTGGTTTTGTTTGTGGTTTGAAATTAATATCGTGTTAGACATTGTGGTTTTACATAACAAGCCATATGCTAAATGACATGACATGAATGTTAAATAGGTTAAATTAAGGGTAAAAACAAATAACAAGCAAACAATAGTTATTTTATAATTTTTTTTTATATATTATCATATGAGTTGTAGAATTAAATATTTTTTTATCAATACAAACACAACTAGCACCAAAAGTGACACAATTGATATCTTTATTTCAGCAAAATTTTTATATATACTAGTCATAACTTGTTCCTACAAGTACAATGGAATATCAAATTTTAGTGTTCAAAAAATTAATTACTTTATACTAAATAGTAATTTTTTATTTTTTTCGTTTGTTTAATTATTTCATTTAAAAATATTTTTTACCTATTAATTTCTTTAAAATAATGTCAAATTCGTGTATGGATAATGTATGAAATAAAAATTGTGTTAAACTACAAATTAATCAAATATTAAATAATTAAACATGTGATAGAATTGAGTAATTTGATATTTTTGAGAAAAAAAATGTGTATGATAAAGATTCAAATTGCTATCTAATTTATTATATAGTTATATAGTGTGTTGACATTGTCAAGGGCCGGCGTTAGACGGTAATTCTAATAAACTAAATATATTTTTGTAACTAACCTAGAAAAATAAAACAATTTAAAGTCGTCCTGAGTTGTGATAAAAGAGGTAAAGTATTAACAAGATTAGGAGGTAATATATCAATTGAGTCCATAAATCAAAGACTAAGGTCGTGTTTGGTTTGTTTTTCGGAAATAGTTTTTTATTCTCAAAATTTAAAAAATAAAATAAAATTTGTGTCAAATAAACAGAAAACAAGTCTAACTTATTTTTAGAGTTTTCTTTGAAAAATTTGAAAACAATGAAAACAATTTAGAGGCTTTAATGAGGTATATCGTTCGAGTTCTCTTAGCAGCAAAAGTCTTTATTCCTTTTTTTTTTCTTCCTCTATCTCTCCATCGTCTTTTTCTCCAGCATCCTCCAGTGTCCTCTCTCTCTCTCTCTCTTCTCGGTGATCATCTGTGCAACCCTATCTCCGACCTTCACCTCAAAATCAACATCTGAATGGTTGAACAAGATCACCCCAACTGGGCCTCTATAGTCAGCATCGATCACACTAGCCCCAACATCTATCGAATGCTTCCAGGCCAAACCCAATCGCAGTGCTACAAATCCGCATAAACCCATTTCCTTTCTCTCTCTATATGCAACAGATTTGTATAGATCTATGTATATATACACATCTGTGTTCAAATTTGTATATATACACAGATCATTGTGTGTGTATATATATATATATGTGTGTGTGTGTGTGTGTGTGTGTGTGTGTGTGTGTGTGTGTGTGAGAGAGAGAGAGAGAGCTATGAGAAGATATTGTATATATACATAGATCTATGTATATATATATGTGTGTGTGTGTGTGTGTTCTCTCTCTCTTGTAGGTGTGTATGTTTGTGCTGTGTGAGAAGACAATGGAGAGAGATGCTGTGAGAAGATATGTACTTGTGGATGTGTGTATTTTACAATATTTGTAGATTATTATTTAAACAAGTTTTACTATTTTTTGTACTTTAAAACTACTTTCAAAACCATATAACCAAACAAGTTTTGTAATACAAAAATATCAAAAAACACTTTTTTATAACTCTTCTCAAAAATTATTTTCGGATACTATTTTTAGATATGCAAACTACACAAGCTCTGAACTTCTGTGGGGTAGACTGTAATTACAAGAAAAATAAGGACAATAAAGTTGGGAGAAGCAATCATATTTCACTCTCTCTCTCCTGCTCTGGTCTGATAAGAATAATATTAAATCAATATTATTGGACATAATTTAAAATTTTAATAATTGTGGTCATTAGATTATCAGTGAGTCCTTATATTAAATTATCGCTAAATTTTAATATTATCAATCTAATGATCATAATGCATTAAGTCCCTAAATTATATTCTTAAATTATGTAATAGTAGTATTAGTGATAATCTTTATCACATAAATATAATTATATTTTGGTTGTTTAAAAAAAACTCTAAATGATTTTTTTTTTATTTTAGAACTTTAGGCTGTGACCCAATTCTTTTTTCATGTAATTATAAAATGACTATGTATTTTCATTATTGGGACATATTCGTAACGTGTCTGAAGATGGACCAAAAATTCAGTCATTTCGGAGTAATATTTTTCTAAAATACATAGTACCTGTAGAATCAGGTGACGTGCACTCCCCACCAAAAATTGTCATAATAGTATAATACTAATTTTCTCAGATGTATAAATAAATTTCTTATATTTTTTTTGACAAATTAATTAACAATAGAATGTACATTTTGATGGGTCAAGTCTAAATGACCTAATCTATGTGAAAAGTCCAAATCCCAATTGAGGAGCCCAACCTCATTAAAGATCTACCAAGCTCAACATAGTCCACCAGTCAAACACTCTGCCTAGCCACGTCATTAAGAGGGAGAGCATGGGGGCCTTACCTGCACCGTAGAAAGAAATAATCCACCCTCACCTTATCTTTGACCACATCTCATGGGGAGCTCCTCAACCATATCACCCGTTGAGAAGAAGTCGTGAGCTCCACCGAAATAGTTGCTTAGTTGCTGAGAAGTAGTCCCAACCTGTTAAGGGGCTACTATAAATTGCACGCGCCCACCAACACTTGGGGGCATCACACATCACCTGAGCACTACTCTCTCCTCTCCCTCAAAGGTTGTATTCTCTGCTCCCGACACCCTTGAGTTAATAAAATGTCCGACAACCAGAGCCATTGAAGAGTGGACATAGGTCGAGCTGACCGAACCACTATAAATTGTCTGTATCTCTTCATCTCCTAATATTACTTTCTTGCATTTATTATTCACACTTGACAGATGGTGTGCAAAACTATTTTGTGCATCATCAGTTTGACACCG